AGTATATATGACAAACATTTACTTCCAAAAATTTCAAACAATGAATCTATATTATAACTGTTCGCAACTTTTCATCAAACAAATTAATTCATGTAACATTTTAGATCAAGTGTCATTTAAAATAGAACAAATTTTGGGAACAATCGTTTTTAATGTGTCGAACAAATGCATGAATCAATTAAATTCAAACAAATACATTGTTAGTTGAATAAATTGAGGAATGAATATTCGTGACAATAAAAAGTAAAACGGCGTTCCATAATTTACGGAAGTAGATTATAATTCGGGTTTGGATAAGTGATAGAGTACCCAAGAACATAACGATTTTGATAAGATGTGTGCTGAGAATGAAGGTGGAAAAAACATTTTGTTTTTAAATGGACCATTTTATAATTGATATTTCTATTTTGTAGGTATTTACCTTTCTGTCGATGGAGATGCTTATCCCGTCGACCCATTTTTATTCAAAAATACTATTTTGATCCCTGATATAGTGCGTCAACTAATTCTAACAAAAACTAGCCATCCTGGGTTATTAGATGACTTCCAAGACTTTCCAGTTTTTAAAAAAACGCCTTTTGCACAGCGCAGCGTACGTGAATGGTTAGTTCACTCTCCAAGAGGTAATTAAATGTTTTTTTTTATGCTGGCTTTTTGATAGTGCGCATTGTTTATTGAAATCTTCCTTTTATTATAGTTTTGTAATATTTTTTCTTTTCTCAATGGGAAATACAGTATTACTTCAAATACATGTGCCTTTTTACTGAATTCGTTTTACTCGTCGCTGACTGTACTATTACCTTTTATCATTCAAATAAATAAAAAGTTTTGTGATATATCATCGAAAATTCAATTCTTCATTCAACACTCATTGATTTTTGGAAATCGGATCAGCCGTTCTTGATTAACCAATCTGCAAACGAACAAACAAAATATCACAGGTTCGAAAAAAATATGTACCTAATCAAATTTTTTTCCAGTTTATTCTATTGAATGTTCACATTCTAGAGAAAATGAAGTGAGTTTATAAATACATTTTGTACATTATTGAATGTTCCTCGGGCAATTTCATTGCAAGCGAATGTGAATAGTATACTTCAAATGTCACGTATCCCCTCAGAAATATCTAGATGCTCAATCAGGTGATCTAGTGGGCCGTTCCAAGGGTCCGCATCTATCAGTCCACTGGCAGCCTCTCATTATGAAGCGGTTCCTCGTCTTGGTGGAACGTAACATCAATTGAAAACTCATTTGGTTTCGTCATTCATCCAAACCGATATACAGACAGATATGGTCCCTATAATCAGCCCACTAGATTACCTATACTTCATTTCGGTGGAATAGGTGGAAAACTCGAGAGACACGATAGATCTCACAATAGATATATAATTGTGTTTGTTCTAAAATCATATCATTTTTCTCAAGTGTACACAATCACAACTGGAAAGTCCAAAATTTGATTTTGTAAATAAGAAGTAAACTACAGCTTGTCAGATGCAGGAAGAGCTTTCTTAATTCCGTTATGGTCTCACCCACTAGCTGTGCGTTCGTTAGAACACTATGATAACGAGAGAAAGAGAATTATCTTTCTAGGTTTGACAAACTATACAAATTTTGTTCACACATTGATTGTGTATCAAAATTTCAAATATTCTCAACAATAATCAAGTATGTCAAAGATTTTGTTGTTTCAAGAATATCTAGAATGATTTTATCGTAAAATGAGTTCTACTGTTCAAAGCCTGTACATTCATAATATTTGAAAACATTTCATAAAATATCCTGTGCTTGGAAATAATTCACTTACTCCCAGACATCCAGCCGTCCTCCTTCATAAGATTTTTTAAAAACTTCTCCAACTCCTCCATTAGCTCTAAATCCCAGGAAAGAAATAAACAGTAATGCCGCCACAGTAAGGGAAAACTGAAGTGTATCTGTCCATACGAGAGCTTTGAGTCCACCAATAGTTGTATAAAATATACATATACCACAAACGATGGGAGTAATAATGTGGACATCAACACCAGTTGCTGAAAAAATTGAGAATTGTTTTCAAAATATGTAATGGGTCAGAAAAATTATGGAATGTTCACTCGATAACCTGAGAATGAGCGACAAAAATTCTTCCTGAATCATGTAAAGAGGTTGTGAACGACCACTTTTTCAAAAATATTCGACATCATTTAGAATCATGGTGATTAAAAAACCTACCTATTATAGTAATAACTAGGTGATGAATATTCTGTGAGTCTCCATTAAAATTTTTTGATATTTCCATCTTCACATTAACGTGAATTCATTTGTTGATTGATATTATCAGTTATGCTATCTTGTTTGAGTCAGATTTATGGGCCTAAGGCCCCTTATCCTTTCGGCTGTTTGAGTTTTTCTTGGGTTCCTATGGCGGGGCAGCAGGGGATTGCATGGTCCTCTGTCGTCTTCTTTTGACTCTTTGCCCTGTGTGTAGAAGTCGCAGCGTACTTATTTGGCTTTGCGGCCGTTCAGGTACTGTTTCTTGTTTTATTTTCCGGAAAGCATGGATTGCGGTACGGTAAGTTCACTAGAAGCGCCTGCAGCTGCTCTAAGGCCTTTGGGTGACCTTGGGGAGAGCTGCAGGAGTTCTCTGACGATGAGACGGCCCTCGCATACGAGACGTCGCTCCTGATTGAGTTTCTTCCGACAGGCCTTGGGTTTGTGGTCTGTCTGTTTTCGTTCGGCCTATCTGAGGCCCTTTTATTTTCAGGGCAATCTGGGCACCCATGGAAGCTCGCTGGGTGTTCTCCTTTACAGTTGAAGCATCGCAAGGGCGAGTTTTTAGGTCTTTAACATTCCTTGGTCATGTGCCGTCCGGCACATCTAACGCAGGCTGGAACTGCTTTACAGTTGCGTTGCGTGTGACCGAACTTTTGGCATCTGTAACATTGCCCTGTTCGGTTTCTCGGCTTCTGTGTTTCGGCGCTTAGGGACACGTTTTGAATTTCGGTGATCTCATATATTTTCTTCTGGCTCCTTGGAACTAAAACAAGCACGAACGGTATCGGTACCTTGTTAGCTTTACTCAGGCGGGCTACGGAAAAGATCTCAAATCCTTTGCCCTGGAGTTCAGTCTTGATGTCGTCACACTCAATGGATTCCGGGACCCCGCGAAAAACTACTCTGAGTGGTTTTTTGCTTTTCATTGTATAGATGTGGTAGGGTATTTTCTCTTGATCGAGGATCCGAGTAATTCTCCTATAATCATCTGTATTTTCAAGGCGGACTTTAATTCCATCTGTTGTGTTCACCGCCCGCAATATGGAGATGTTTTGGGCAGCAACAATCGTGTTAAAAGCTTTCCACTTTTCTTTTGCGCGGATGGTTATGAGTGGAGGCTTATCCGCTTTTTAGCGTGTTTCTGCCCGGTCATTTTCCGAGGCGTCTGTTACTAGTTCTTCGTCGCCTACTTCCATTAAGACATCTGTTTCCTCTATATTTGTCAACTCAGTTTTCTGAGTGGGCTTTTGAATTTAATTTTCCAGAGCCACGCTCGGCTTTTGTGATAAGGCGGGTGTAGTTTCATTTGATTTTGGCTTATTGGTCAATTTAGTCTGGGAAAAACCGGGTTTCAACTGTTTGATTTGTTGAGCCGTTTCTGGCTCTTTTTCCCTCTATTTTGGGGCTTTTGCCGCTTGGCTTTCTTCGCCCGACAAAATATCCTCGCTGTCAAGATCGCTGATGTCAGACTTATTTTATAGTATTCTATAATAGTTGATATCATAGCCAGACTTGCTTCTTTTGGTTTTTTACGAACTTTCGTAAAATTGAAAATCGTTTCTATAACTTGTTCCATCTCGAAAGATAGATGCTACACTTCGAAATTAGTACAACGAAAATTAGTCAACTTGACAGCTGTCTGACATCTGCTGGATGTCTGTGAAAATATTGAACCGCTCCTTCACAGCATGTTACTGTGAACTGACTAATATATCACTTCTGTTGGTTCACTGTAAAAAAGTTCATAGTCCAGATAACGGAAATATTTATACTGACTCGAACGGTAAAACTAAATTTATACTGACTCGAACGGTAAAACAAAAACAGTCTTGTCAGATATTTTTACAAATCGTTTTGGTTCCTTGTGCTCCTTTTCAGCGAGGGTAATTTATTTCACCTATTGAACAGTTTCTCATGTCTATAAAAATTGCACCAAAAATTCACAATTGAATGACTCAAAACACAGAAAATCCACCATACAACATACATAACCTATACATTCCACACATTTAGTTGTTACAAACAGCTTTAATTGCTTGATTACCGCCATTAAGGGTGGACATATATTTCTTTCGTAGCAGTACTATCAATTATGACCAACCACTCTCTGCAATTCCGTAACATTTCCATGTTCTATGTGAATGTGAATAACTGATTTGGATGTTTGTTCCAAACATGAAATCATACTGAATTTTGGGAAAGAAACGTATTGGCTTCCTACTTATCCATATTTAGTGAGGACAGTGTTCCATATGAGTGAAATTTCACCTCTATCTTTTCTATATTGCGTAACACTCCTGTGAATGATATCTGATTCAATTCCGTAAAGAATGTTTGGGATCCATAAATTAGGCGGCAACAAGAATTTTGCACTTCTTCTATTCTTTTTTTATCTGAATCATATAAGTATGGCCCATATATGAAGTCACAGTAGCACCAAACTATCACAGAGCATTTTTTTAGAGGTTGGCTCAAAATAAAACGATCACAGTATAACATTTTCAATGATATATACGCTTTTTTCATTAAATTTTCAACATGACTAGTGAATCTAAGATCAGTGTCAAGCATCACCCCCGAGTTTTCAGCTGTATTGAGAGGAGTCAAGATAGTATGACCTAGTTCTAAACGGAAATAGTTTTCTGCAAATTCACTGTTCTTCTGCGATCCAAAGTGCATCATCATTGTTTTATTAGGATAAATTCTCAAATCATGTTCACTTGATAGCCCATTGATCAAATCAAGATCAGTGTTGAAGAGATTTTGTGCCTCAGCACACTCATCGATTTCAAAGTGCATTTATAATTGTATGTCATCAGCATACGCCTGTATTTCACATTTCTTGATGGACGAGATAATATCAGTAATATAAATGATGAACAATAAAGGTCTCAAAATGGAACCCTGTGGTACTCCTGATAGAAAATCAAGAGGTAAGGAGTGATGACCATCAACAACAACTTTTTGAGATCGACCAAGTAAATAAGACCAGATGAGAAATAAGGCAGCACTATCAAAACCATAATATTTGAGTTTCATGCAAATCAGCTCATGATTGATGGTATCGAATGCTTTCGAAAAATCTAGTAGTACCAGAGTGCTAATCATTCCCTTATCAAATCCCTCAACAATGTCTTGTGTAACAGTAGCAAGAGCTGTAGCTGTTAATGATTTCAAAATTACCAAAATTGTTATTATCGAAATTTATTTTTGCCCTGTATCTTCGAAACGCCCTATCAAACATTATCAGAAGACAAAATATTCTTAGAATAGTCCAAGGAGTAGTTCCTCAATTTTGGCCGCATGTTTAATCAACAACCTGTATATTCAAATGAAATATTAGAAAATCATCATTCTTACCTGATGAAAAGGCCAGCGCAGGGATATATATCACAATCGGTATGTATAAAAAAACTGAAATCGCATACAGAATAGAGGCAAATTTTCTTAATCTCTCATTGAACCTCAGTCCAATATATTCATAAGTGCTTGTCAGTTGAAGTTTGTAAAATACCGGGAGGTACACATAAATTGTTACAACAGCAACAATCATCAAAGAAATTGCACAGAACCAATAAGCAGCTCCATATACGTATATTTCAGACGGAAGAGCAAGAAGTGTTACTCCAGAGGTGTGACTGAAATCAATAAATATTTGTTTTTTAAATTCCATCACTTTTATTAGCTCGTAAAATCTATAATAGAATTTTGTTTTCACAACTTTGCATTATCTGTTCTCGAAATGAAAATGATAATATGCCAAATAATGAAATACATTGAAAAAGATATTCTACTACTGTCGACTCGGAAATCAAAAAAATCAAAAAGCCATAGGAAACGATAATATAAAAATCAAAATCAAAATTCCTTCATTATCTTTCCCTTTATACAAATTTTTAGATTCAGATGAGCAGTCTATTCACAATATTTATTATGAATAAAAACATATGTACATCCCTCCCACAGAAGAAAGTGGATTTGAGGGGATAGGATAGGTACAGAAGGAGTAGGAGGAAGAGCAGAAGGAGACTTCAATGTGGAGCCCCAGGAGGTCCGCACATCAAAACCTCTCCACATAGCTCCACGATTGGATATGGGAGATGCCCCCGCTGATGGTGACGGGTGGATATTTGTCCAACAGAGCTTTATTTCGTCTGCCTGAGGCGTCTCGTTTTCTGCTACGGCTCAGTATATAGGTTTGCCTATAGCCTCCTGGAAAATGTTCATGTAGAAACCAGGTTAGGGTAATTCTCGTATCATAGATATCAAGCGATTCATATATCAGCTTTCATAATCAGTCCCTGATTATGATAGCTTCTAATTGCCGTGACGTCGCTCGTCAGACATGCTTCTGATATGATCAGTGACCATCTCAACTTCTGCCAGATTCAACACATCATTCAAAGAGATGTATCTGTCATCGTTCGTGCAAATACCTCATTCTGCATCGTCTCGAGTCTCCGTAAAGGAGCCATCTTGAGACCGCAGAAAACGGGATAAGCTGGTCTAATTAGCTGCTTGTTAATTAGCAGATTGTTGTCAACACTGAGCTTCGATTTCCATGCAATGAGCGGATACGTACGTTTCACCGCCGCACCCGCTCGTTGGATCGCCAAGCCCAAATGTTCCTGAACATTTAGGTGCTCAGCCAGGATAACTCCCATATATCGCGCGCTCATCTGCTCATCACCCTTGACTCGTAACTTCCCGAAAATCTTCACATTTGTAAATTTCTTCTTGAAGTTGACGATTTTCGTCTTCCTTGGGTCGATCAGAATCCTATTTTTCCCGAAATACGGCACGACCAACCTGTAGAGGTGGATCTGAAGCTATTGCTTCGCCACCTCGCTCGAGAACGAATGAGCGTATATAGCAGTGTCATCTGCGTATTTCCCTCAATCCTTTTCGGAAACATAGGTAAGTCGTGGGTGAAGGTTCGGTGACAGGCAGGACCCCTGCGGAATACCTGCTTTCATTGAATAATTTGCAGATGTGGTTTGGTCCACTCTTACGCGAAAAGTTCGATAGCTCGGGTAGGATAAAATCATCCTAATCGCAGATAAGGGCATGTCTGCCAACCACATTTTGGTGACAACTTACTCTATCCAAACTCTATTGCATGCTTTCTGAATGTCCAACAAGGCCATAACCATACCTCCTACTGGATACCTGCTTCAATTGAATAATTTGCAGATGTGGTTTGGTCCACTCTCACGCTCCACTCGATAGCTCAGTTAGGATAAAATAATCCTAATCACAAATAAGGGCATGTCACCAACCACTTTTTGGTGACAAACTCCCCTATCCAAACTCTTTTTCAGGTTTTCTAAATGTCCATCAAGACCATAACCATATTCTTCCACTGGTGGAAGGATTTCTCCATGGCGTGGACAACCCGGATCAGCTGGAAAGTCGTATTCCGACCTCGCTGAAACCCGAATAGCTCCTCCGGAGTGAGCTTCATCCTATCTTCCAGACAAAAAGTCTACTCATAAATTTTATCAATGACCTTCGCTACCGAACTGAGTAGCGAGATCGCACGCTATCTATAAGAGATTTAGGTTTCCCAGTCTTATGGATAGCGACTACCCCCTCATGATTCAAACAATCCAGATAATGTTGGTGTCTGATATTCACGCTCATGATGTTCACTGACTGTATAACCCTTTCGCGGCAGGTTATACGCAGTGAAACTACCTCGGTACCTGGGGCTTGGTTCTTCCCCAGGCACTTCATGGTCGCAATCACCTCTTCGAAGTCTGTGATACACTTGAGTAGGGTCGGCTCTGGTATTTGTGGACCTGGTTCACCTATTGTATCATTGAAAATGTGGTAGTCACAATCGTCGGGATTATTCTTGTGAACACTGGCGAAGTATTCCCCAAATGATTGAGCCATGGTTCCCCTCCATGTGTTTGTTGCCTTTCTCCAAGGTGGGGATAGCCTTGAACCGGTTGTTCAGTCTCTTGGCTATCCTCCACAAAGAGTGGTCGTGCATGTTAAGACTCTTGAGTTTTTCCTTCTACCTTTTGTTGGTGAACTTATTAATGCGCTTGTTGCCCTCCGCAGCAAGTTTCAACATTTCAACATTTGATTCTTGCTAAGAGGGTCGCGTGTTCTCTGCCAGTCCTCGCACATCCAATTTTTTTGTCTGATGAGTTCAACAGCACCAGGCGGAAGGATGTCTCTATCGCGTTTCTCTAAGACTTTTCTCGTAGAGACATGTCTAGAACGTTTTATGCTTAGGACAAACTGACCACATTCCTTTTCTGTCTCGCATTTACCATTGTTGCTTTGGATGATGATAATTTGACTTCAAAGTAGTGTCCTTTGAAAAATGATTTCCATGGCTTCAAAAAACATCTACAAAGATTGCACCTGCTTGTGAAGGGTTCGATCTTATAAGGTTTTTGAAATTAGAATGAAAGAACTCTCTGTTACCGATCCAACTGAGGAAACTACTATGTAGTGGAAATGAAGTCTATATCGAGAAAATTTATAAGTATCCCCATGAATAATATATGCTATTGTCATTATAAAATAGCTTTCTATCAAAACTACAACACTTCCCTTGTCGAGGGTTTCACCAACCACTATATCAGAAGATATAAAAAGTGCAGATAGACAGAAGTCGATGTCGCAGCTTTGCTTTGCAACAAACTGGTCTAGAAGGAGTTGTTCACCTTGAATAAGCAGGATTTGAGTTTACTATCGATTCTGTTGATGTTGTTTTCGTGAAGAGAGATGTCTGCATTCTTATACTCGGGCTATTTTTAATGGCAGTTGAGTCTTGAATACACTAGCACCTCCGTGACAGTTCGGAACAGCACTATCAATTGTTTTTGATCTAATCGTCATTTGACAAAAATGAATTGGTGTTGATTTCGTCATGTAAGTTTCCGCAGTGAACTTTTTAGTTTGTCGTTCATTATACTTGACAGCACATTCTGTTGTCATTTTAAGAACTGTGAAACGTTAACATCCAAGTTTTTTACTGGTAAATTCAAAGTATTCGGCAAAATTTCTGAGAATAATGAGTAAGTGAAAACTGTTTCTAATCGAGTAATCATCAGAACCGAAATAAAAAAAGTATGATTCGTTTGATGATGATAATATAGCTCTTGTTCCTCATTACTATTTAATTACGGTAGAATCGAATAAACTTCAATCTGCATAAAATGAATACTATTGATTGAGAAATTGCTGCAAAAATACAAATATGATGTAAATTTTTGAAATTTCAAAACCGAGAGTACCTCGAGTCAATGAGCACCCTGTATAAAGAGTATATGCTCAAAGTATCATAGTCCAACGAAAGTTACCATGGCAAAGTATGAAAAAATGTTCAACCTTTCTGTTGATAAAAAAGATACAGCAAATTTGTTTCTATCTCTCTATACCCCAGTAATCAAAAAAGTTAGAAATATATATAGTATAGAAATATATGAACCATTGATAAGTATTCATACGTTTAGCTTTTCAAATTGTATCAATTAATGGGTCGAGAAACGTGTATATGAGAAATATCGTGAATAAAAATTTAGGGAGACAATGATCAAATAGCAAATCGCTTACCTTGCTATCAACGACATTACTATGGGAAAAACTTTCATTTCTCTTCCACCAAGTAGATATTCTTTAGCAGTGGTTTGTTTCTGACCAAAACATCCGAAATAAATACCCATTCCACCACTAATTGACAACATCGTACTGAAAATGGCGTAGTCATACCAAGAGAAGAAACGTTCTACAGTCGCAGTAAGTTCAGGAGCTGATGTTATTGTAGATGTTGTCAGATTCATCTGGAATGAAAGTTGCATATATATTATGTATGTTTGAAGGTAGTTGACAATGTTTCATGATGAATTTCATCAGTTCGGACTTCCATTGTCCAATATGACATGATTTGAAATCTCTGAAATAACAAATGAAAATTAAAATTAAAAAGAATAGCTAAAAATAACAATTATATTGAGCAAAGGAACCCTGAAAAGAAATAACAATGAAATAAAAATTGAGCAAAAAGTTGAACAATTGAAATGAATTAAAAATTGAGAGATTTCAAGCCAGATTTCACGACGTTTCGATTGTAAGTATCCAAAGTCGTCTTCGGGTAATAACTGGACTAATTCCTCCGAGAGGCATCCTCCGATGCGTATCTCTACGCTAGCTTGGCTGAATGCGTCGTTGGAAAACATGTATGCAGTTTCTTTGAATTATCTCTTTGTGGATGTTCTCAGCTTGGAACCACTTGATGTTATGTTAGTGAGTCCAAACATGCTCTTGGTTTGCTGGTTTCCCCTCGCTGTGTGTGTTTTTTGTGCTCGGCAATGCAAACTTTCAGTGGCCTCTCAGTTCACCGATATATGGTATCCGGTAAATGCAATTCTTGGAATTGCAGTCCGCGTTTGGTGGCCTGGTTTTCGTCAGGCTGCTACGGATAGTGTTTTCGGATCTGAAGCAGTTTCTGATGTTGTACTTGGACCAAATTCTTCTTATTTCTCTGATGTAGAGAAGTGTAAGCACTGGTTGTGACGACTTCTCTACCTTGCGAAGCTCTTGCTGTGTTTTAGCCAAAATCTATTCTACCATCACTGTGGAGTAACCATTTTGTCGAAGATTTTTTTTATGATGTCTAGTTCCTTCTCGAGAACTTCCTTCGTATTATAGAGCCCGGAAGAACGGTCAGCTAGAGTCTTGATTATTCCTCTTCTGGTGGATTGATGGTACTTGGATTCGTGATTCAGATACTATCCCGTGTGAGTGGGTTTTCGGTATTCAGATTTTTCCCACGTAGTTGTTGGTCTTCTTTACCAATATGTCTTAGAATGGCAATTCGTTTTGAACTTCACTTTCCATTGTAAAAGTGATATGAATGTGACTCAGGAAGGTGTCTAGTTCTGTTTTTCCATGGTTCCATATCATGAAGGTGTCGTCAACGTATCTCAAATAGACTTGGAGTTCTTGCGGGCTTCTTCAATGGCCAGAGTTTCAAGCCACCCCATATTTATGTTGACTACAACTGGTGGAAGTGGCGAACCCATTAGCAGTCTCTCATCTGGCGTTGAGAATTCGTCCGTAAGGTGGAAATAACAGATTTCAAATCATATCATATCAGACAATGGAAATTCCAACTGATGAAACTAAATGTAGTATGTTGCCAAATTCCGTTCAAACTGTATTTTGTAGTCAATAAAAATAGATTTCAGAATACGTAACAAGACAATTGATCAAAAATTTCGAATAGATTTATCATTTTTGCTAAAAGCTTGTTGTTTACATGGAAATGTTTTTTGTCATATCATTTTTTTATATGTATGTTCATTCTACAAGTCTCAAATGCACTGAAGTTAACAGGATTTTCATCTTGTGTTTTCGACCTATATCTGAGTAAAGGCAAGCCGGGCAGATATCTCGAGCAAAAATTAGAAGCGAAGTGAAAAACTGAAATAAAGTATTTTGTTTATCTCAATTCCATGATGTATGTTTCGGGTACAAACTGGCTCTTTTATTGACTTTATGTCTGTTACTTTATTGCACGATTTACACGTGTGAATCGTTTTATTCATTCAACGTGCCACTATAAGGGTATCTTCAATATTCTGTGTAATGCCCGTTGTAAGTAGTCCCACTGCGATTCTAAAGTGCATATAGATTATAACGGCAAGAAGACACATTTTCATCTGCATAATTGCTCATATCTAATCCTTCTTAAGAAAAGTCGATGACAACAGTCAATTTCTCTCTAAATCTTTCTGAAGATGATATTTTCAAATGAAATATCAAAATACGGGAAAACTTATGGATTGATAGGAACTTTGGGAATTTTCTCATTTCCTTGCACCTCAGATATGTTGGTTTCCCATCTCCATTCAGCGTTTCCTCTCTTGTGTAGGAATCCAAGCAATGTGACAAACTCAATTGGCTCATTGTGGCATGGAAGGAGACAAATCCCAGAAAGGATCGAAGGTTACTGATGAGTATCCACAGTGTATGTACTTCAAAGTGGATTTTAATTGACCAACGAAATTGTTTACAATCTCAGAATTTTTTCATGTTCAAATATATCAGCCAGGACTCTTGTGCTTTTCCGCTGTCGCTCAATTTTTCGTAAATCTCCGTTAAGATCAGTTAAGGTTTCTCAGTAATTCTATTAAGGTCCTCATGTAAACCTTCCGAAAGATATCGAAGGAATTCCTGGACGTCTTGATGGGCAGATCCCATGAATCGAGGGGCAAATCTTTGAATGTGAATTTTAAAATAGGCAGTTTTTATTTTTCTATCAGATGAATTTTCTGACCACAATTTCTTTATAACTACTGCGAACGCTTTGATTAGGCACCTTTCATATTAGAAATACTAACTTTTTTTTAATATTCCAGCAACCACCTTTTCCAAAAATATACCCCTTCTAATTTGAATTGTGTAGAACTTTTTGAGATAAATAGGAGGAAGACTTGAAGTTCAGTGCATGTAAAAAAAATTGTTATACAAATTTCATGTACCCCCTTTAAGGGACTGTATCTTAACAAAGGATGCTCCAATGTAAATCCTTTATATGAAAGATCCTATCTTTTCTTCGATGAGGAATCACCTCTTTGAATGTTTTACACTTATTTAGTCACACCCTGTATATCAACGGGTATGTAATAAAATTATCAATCATTGCTGTCTCTACGTGAAATATGTTTGAGAGGAGCTAATGAAAACTCTCTCATTTGATTAATATTTCGATACTGTTCAATACCTTTCTCAGGCCAATTAGAGTCATTGAAAAACACCAAAAAAACAAACAATAAAAACACGTCATTTTTCAACTTACTCAATATCAAGATTACGGTGTAAGCAGATGCACTTTTCTGCAGAAAATACTAGAAATCCATCTATCGTAAAATAACCATAACCACCATGATAATTTTATAAGATGAATTTTTCTCAACTATGAATATGTAATAGGTAATTGAAGGGGGCATGCTGAAGCATCTTCAAAAACTGTATGAGAAATCAAGAGACGGATTGATCTCGTCTCATTCGAACAGTAATGAAAATCGTACATTGTATCCGGAGAAATCTTCCGCAAAATGCAATTCATCTACTGAAAACACGTTTTTCACACCAGACCAGAAATATGGTACTTCGAAGCGTGTTCCTCTAGCCAAGTTCGCATCATCAAGTCATCTCCTAATGAGAGACAGTGTTATGTTCCTATGTTTTGTTTTCAATAGATACATTTCACTCTCTAGGTTCCAATTCTGTCTATCAAGCTTGGGAACAATTATTGTGTTTTGAGCAACAGTGAAAGGTGTATGCCTATCAAAGCATCAATTGAAGTCACGTACCTTTAGCAAAATCAAATCTATCTTTTCATGTAGAATTACGAAGCACTGTTCCAAAACGGTTTGATCCAAGGGATTCTATGTTACACCAAACTGATAAACATCATTAACGGTTACGTCTCTCTTAATAATATTGTACCGGGATTGTAGGTGGATCAGAAAGATGAAAATATATACTTTTGGAACGGTAGTAATTGTATTTGAACAATTCTTAAAGTGTCAGATCATAATAATGAAATCTGTTTGTTTATCGCATTTGACGAGCGAGGCTTTGAAAAAAACCATAAAATGATCTTGCGTAATTTTCTAGATAACACGAGCATATTTATTCTATATCCCACAGGATTATTTGGAGTTCATTCAATGAGTTTGAACTTGATTTTTTTTTATTGCAATGAAAATAGGAAAAAAAATATATCATGTCAGCTCCGAAGTTTATCAAAATATGATGAAACTACCAGAAGTTACCGACGCGGTTATTTGTCGTAGCATTATTTGAAATTCACATGAAATACATTCGAATTGAATTGAATGGGTTATGTTTTTCTGGATTTGACTTTTTCGAAATTGATTGCTTTCTTTCTCATTTTGAAAGACTCCCATATTTTTTTATAGAGGTGGAGGGGTAGAAAGCCAAAAACCTTCCTTTTCCATTATTTTCCATACACTTAGCAATCTTTTTGTCTTCTGGCAACTATTAAAGGAGAATTGGCTTAGGGTCTAAATTCTGGTTAGCGTGATATTCAGTAGAGGTGTTGGTCCAAATTCGGGCTACCGTTTACTTTATAAACCATAACTTTGTTAAAATAAATATAATTAACTTCAACTAGCTATAAATTGCACGTATAAAAGGTTTTATTTAAGTTCATTATCTCAAAAAATCACAAAATAAACGTATTTTGAAGATTTTCATCAAAGCAAATTATATGCCAAAATCTCATATTTTTGAAGTGTGGTCTAAATTTGGGCTAGGCCAAAATTTAAGAGTGATACACTGAATATCACACTAACCAGAATTCAGACCATAGCCCAAATTTGGACCTTCTCCTCTAAAAGGAGGTGCCAGAACCTAGCGAAGAGAATGTATAAAAATGTTCAGGATAGTTCAGTTCCGTGACACGTATATGCATAGTGAAATATTCTTCGAATTTGACCATCTGAAAACTTTTTCAGATACATTTTCTTCATTTTATTACATGATCTAGGTATATGACAAGAGCATTATCTCTAATGAGTTTGATTATAAATATACTGAGGTTTCAATATGAATATATATTTCTCACCTCTCCCCTTACTTGCTCGTGTATAACTAACCTCAAACCGACGCAATAGTGAAGGTCTAAATTCAGGCTACCAGTAGGCCATCTATTCAATATTTCTCATTCTGACCGTTTACATCTTATACTTAAGAATAAAAAGAAGAACTGGAATGGAGAGGGGCATGGAGAAGGCAATTCATGCCGTTAAAATCTGTTTATGTTTTCACAGTGTATTACTCCTAAATTTGGGCCTAGCGCAAATTTAGACCACACTTCAAAAATATGAGATTTTGGCATATAATTTGTTTTCATGAAAATCTTCAAAGTGGGTTTATTTTGTAATTTTTCAATATAATGAACCCAAATAAAACCTTTTTAACTTGCAATTCATTCCCAGTTGGAGTTAATTATATTTATTTTGACAAAGATATGGTTAAGAAAGTTAACGACAGCCCAAATTTGGACCAATTCCTCTAAGAAGTCTCGGGCCTAACATAGAAATGGCGCTTGTCTTATGGTGTTCACCACTTATTCAGTTAGTAATAACTTTCAAAAGAAAGCTGTTGAAATTTCATTATATTCTACTCAAGAGTTTGTGAGTTATTGTGCTATTTTCAAAACAAAGGAACAAAATCAAGTTCGTGTTTTAATTTTACACTGCTTCTTGATGGAAAAAATACCGTTCAAGCGAAACAATGGCTTGAAAAGTGTTATAAGGACTCCTTTGTGTCAGAAACAACAGTTAAACGTTGGTTTGCTGAGTTCTAACGTGTTAGTAGAGACACCGATGATGTAGAACGCAATGGAAGTCCAAATTTGTCAGTAACCCCAGAAAACATAAAAAATCCACAAAATAATTTTGAATGATCGAAAAGTGAAGTTGCGTGAGTAAGCTGACATCGTAAAGATATCAAAAGAATGTGTTGGCTTTATTTTACAAGAGCATTTCACTACGAAAAAGCTCTGTTCAAATTGGATGCCGCGCGAGCTCGCTGTTGACGTTATGATGATTCTGAGCAGTGTTTGGCCATGTTTAAACATAACAAACCTGTATTTTTGTGTCGATATGTGACAATTGATGAAACATGGATCCATCACTTCACTCTGGAATCAAAACAATCATCGTCTGAGTGGAGAGCAACTGGTGAACCTCGTTGGAAGCTCTTGGCTCCTACCGAGCAACGTCTAAATTGGTAGCAAATCACTAAAAACGACTCTCCTCAATAGGAAGACTTAACAGATTGCCTTTATTGTATCTGGTCTGGATTCCTGGCCATACTGGCCTGAAAGGCAATGGGGCTGCTGAATCCCTTGCAAAAGAGGGTGCCGCAAGCAGCTTCATCGAACCAGAACCTATCATTCGCATCGCTTTAGGTTTTGCCAAACAAAGATTGAACACCTGGATGGCAAGAAGATTCATGAACTTCTAGCAGAATCTTCCAGGATTGGCTCACTCCAAGGCGTTTATTCACCCTTCAAAGCTTTATACCAAACAGTTGTTGGACCACAGTAGGGATGAACTACGATGTCTAACAAGCCTTCTTACAGGCTACTGTCATTTGAATCATCACATGCAGGAACAGTGTATTGCGTCTGTTTGGAAAATGATGAAACAGCAGAGCACATACTTTGTGCCTGGCCCGCTGGGGAATGAATCAGATTTTTGAGTTCTGCAGAGCCGTACTCTTACCATCTGACCTGGAAAACTACTCACCATACAAACTAATCGGCTTTGTTAAGAAGCTGGGTTCATTTGGTGTGAGCCAAAATAAACCCTTACGGGTTGTGGTGGAGGGTCAAATAGACCCACTCACTTTGAACCTAACCTAACCCAACCTAACTGGTAAATCTCGTCCAGAAGCACAACAATCGGCTGGAAAGGTTATGGCATCGGTATTTTGAGATGTACGTGATGTAATATCCATGGACTATCTTGAGAAGGGAAATACCATCAACAGTGAATATTATATAGCATCATCAGAGCCTTTGTTGGTCGAAATTGCGAAAAAATGACCCCATTTATAGAAAATCATCAAGACAATGTATAGTTTTTCTAACAGAATGAATGCAACAATGAATTTTCAATTGAAAAATGGACTGAATATCTGAAAAATCCCGTGGTATATATAAATTTGACGTAGGTTCTAGATATGGTAATTTGAAAATACATAAATATATTTTCTGTTTTTTTAAATTCATCACTCACTCCACTCCTTATTTATATAAATATGATCCGTAACCTCATAATGTGAGATAGTGGCTTTCATGAGTGATAAATATGTGAAGATTGATGTCAAAAACTATCAATAATATTTATTGTAGAATAACAAGTTCGAAACTCTTCGAAAATAATTTTCTCTTGATTTTCTCGAATGGAAAACTCTATATTGATAACAGAATGCTATTGAATTGTAGAAACCAGGTTAGGGTAATTCTCGTATCATAGATATCAAGCGATTCATATATCAGCTTTCATATTCAGTCCCTGATTATGATGGCTTCTACTTTCATATTCAGTCCGTGATTATGTTAGCTTCTAATTGCTATGATCAGTGACCATCTCAACTTCTGCCAGATTTAGCACATCATTCAAAGAAATGTATCTGTCATCATTCGTGCAAATACCTCATTCTGCATCGTCTCGAGTCTCTGTAAAGGAGTCATCTTGAGGCCGCAGAAAACGGGATAAGCTGGTCTAATTATCTGCTTGTTAATTAGCATATTGTTGTCAACACTGAGCTTCGATTTCCATGCAATGAGCGGATATGTACGTTTCACCGCCGCACCCGCTCGTTGGATCGCCAAGCCCAAATGTTCCTGAACCTCTAGGTGCTCAGCCAGGATAACTCCCATATATCGTGCGCTTATTTGCTCATCACCCTTTACTCGTAACTTCCCGAAAATCTTCATATTTGTAAATTTCTTCTTGAAGTTGACGATTTCCGTCTTCCTTGGGTCGATCAGAATGCTTATCTTCCCGAAATACGGCACGACCAACCTGTCGAGGTGGATCTGAAGCTATTGTTTCGCCACCTCGCCACCTCTGTGGGATACCTGCTTCAATTGAATGATTTGCAGATGATGTTTGGTCCACTCCTACGCGAAAAGTTCGATAGCTCGGGTAGGATAAAATCATCCTAATCGCAGATAAGGGCATGTCTGCCAACCACATTTTGGTGACAACTTACCCCATTCAAACTCTATTGCAGGCTTTCTGAATGTCCAACAAGACCATAATCATATCCCCTGCGGAATATCTGCTTTAATTGAATAATTTGCAGATGTGGTTTGGTCCACTCTCACGCTCCACTCGATAGCTCAGTTAGGATAGAATAATCCTAATCACAAATAAGAGCATGTCGCCAACCACTTTTTGGTGACAAACTCCCCTATCCAAACTCTCTTTCAGGCTTTCTGAATATCCAACAAGACCATAACCATATTCTTCCACTGATTGAAGGATTTCTTCATGGCGTGGACAACCCGGATCAGCTGGAAAGTCGTATTCCGACCTCGCTGAAACCCGAATCGCTCCTCCAGAGTGAGCTTCATCCTATCTTCCAGACAAAAAGTCTACTCATAAATTTTATCAATGACCTTCGCTACCGAACTGAGTAGCGAGATCGCACGCTAGCTATCTATAAGAGATTTAGGTTTCCCAGTCTTATGGATAGCGACTACCCCCTCATGCTTCAAACAATCCAGATAATGTTGGTGTCTGATATTCACGCTCATGATGTTCACTGACTGTATAACCCTTTCGCGGCAGGTTATACGCAGTGAAACTACCTCGGTACCTGGGGCTTGGTTCTTCCCCAGGCACTTCATGGTCGCAATCACCTCTTCGAAGTCTGTGATACACTTGAGTAGGGTCGGCTCTGGTATTTGTGGACCTGGTTCACCTAT